AATCTTTAATAACCTACGGCAGTTTGCGTTCACTGAACAGTAAGAATGATTAACAAATCCATATGAAACCCAAAAGTCCCAAAGTCACGTCTCGGTTTCAGTTTCGGGCTTTGGCGCATTTGCACTCACACAGAAGCGTACCGCGCCAAAGCCCAAGTGAACCCGATTCAGCGCGCTCACACTTCTCAAACGATCCAGGAAACGGGCCTGGGCACAGTATGGATAGCATAATGTGAGTAGTCCCTTATTCTCTCATTCTCACACTGCAGGTGCTCTGTTTAACTGTTTTCTCGCTAGTAAAGTGTTCGGTTTTTCCACTTACAAGGTTTTCCATGTAAACTCTGACTCTTAAAGGGAATGGGAGATGGTACTCAAACTGGTTTATTCTCAAAATACACCCAGAACTCATTAAGAGAATAATCTCATCCCTGTAAGACCATGCGCCGCTGCGCAAAGTGTATTTTTCTGTCCTTAAAATAGCAAAAGTGGACACGCCCTTAATGCTTTTGCACCCTGCACTTTGAACTTTGCGCCTAGATCAAGCCCAAAATTGTGTTGTTTCAGCTCATTTTAAATAAGTAGTTTGAACAAACAGCAAATATCATAATTTTTTTGACTGTAGTACACCAGGCACATAGTAACTACAGCTGCAAGATTTTTTTTGATACAAAGATTTAATAGGGAGATCTTTTTTGCTGGCCGGCAAATATGAAGCGAGGCTGGAGTAAAGCACTGCATTAAGAGTTGCCCAGTACTTGGCATTTCATTTAAGCTGGACTAAAAGAGAGAAAGTGAAGGGGACAGACAGTGAAAGAGAGAGAGGGAGAGAGAAAGAGAAAGAGTGAGAGTAACAAACCTCCACCATCTGGCACTAATGGTGTTAGGGAAGCATCCAGAGAGGCGACTTGTAAAAATGCATAAACGTTAAGTAAAGAAAGCTGAGCAATATGGGACATGATTTTAGAGGAGTCTGTGTCAAAAGTGAAGAGCTCAGGGGGAAATTGAGGCACATAATGGAAACGTAATGGGCTTAGTGTCACTGTCGTGCAGGATGCCGTCAGCAGCACTGACCCTCCCCCAACTCCAGCGGATTTATGGAAATTACCGGAATAAGGGACAAACAGCCTTTATAAACAAACCAAAAGCATGATTCCTGCCCGTCTATGGAATATCTCAAGATCTTAGTCTTAACTAATACTAGAGGTATTCAGGCCCACATCTGGCTGCGGTTTACTATTCCTCCACTTCCTTGGGGTATATCACAGGAATATTTACAGACTTGATGATCCACTTGTTTTTGAACATTTGAAGACGCCTCTGTGTTGGTTGCTTGGAAAATGGTCAAAACAACTTTTATCCCCCTAGCTTATTTGTCAGCATTGAAAATTAAAGATTCAACATTTTTATGAGACAAAAGTTCAATGCTAATAGCACTGATCAGAGATTCCTTATTGTATGCTATTTACCCATCATACTTTTTATTAATCAAAAACATATGTATTCCTAAATTGTGCTATATTTACAATTTAATGTCTCGAGTCTAATCTGAAAATTAAAATAACGCCATAGCCATCAACTACATGAATTATAATATATATGAAGTTATATTTATTAATGTATTATTACTGTATAATAGGGCTGCACGATTCTGGCAAATTATTTTTTGCTTAATCTAAATTTTGATTTCAGATTTAAATCAGATTGTCTCACAATTCTGTAGATGTAAAATAAAGGCTAGTATGAGTAGACTATTTTTATTGTTATTTCTCAAATATATGGTAAAACAATAATAATAATATTAGGCCGATTTGTGTAGGTCTTCTCTTGATTAAAATGCTAAATTTTGTATAGACTTGTAATGGTGGACTTGAATAGACTTAAAATTTTTCCTGGTTGTTAATGCCAATAAAGTGATTACATCAGAATACAACTCTTCATAATTCTGAAGTTGAATTATTATGTTTGAGACATATGCTTGCCATTTTCATTTTCTGTTTGTATATAAATGATCTACCTGAAAGTTGCAAGGAGGTTGGTTGTCAAATGTATGCTGATGATTTATGTAGCAGCAGAAAATTCACAGAAGGCTGCAGAAATGTTAACCAATCAACTGGTCTGTATTTCCCACTGGCTGAAGGACAACTGTCTAACTCTAAATTACAACAAAACTGTTTCAATGTGTTTCTCCTCAAAAAACAGAGCACTAGATGCATTTAAAATCTAAATTGACCAAAAGGAAATTAAGGAAGTGAGTGAATTTAAATACCTCGGTGTCATCATAGACTCTAAGCTTAAGTTTGATGCCCACATTAAGAAAATGTCTAAGGCTATTAAGACAAATTTAAACTGTTTTCGTATGATAAGACCATATATCTCTTAAAACAGTGCAAATGTTTGGGCATGCTATGATATTTTTACGTATGTCTTATTGTGCAATAATCTGGGGTCAAGCAACCCAGTCAGCTGTTAAGCCTGTTATGTCTCTTTACAAACAAACTTTAAAAGTAATGGATCAGAAACCAATAAGATGGCACCATTGTCAAATTCTTAAATATAATTTGTTTAGTTTGATAGTTTTTTGAAGTTTTCGTTTTTAAAAAACATGTTTAAGAAGTGTATACATGGTCTTGCTCCTAAAGTAGTTTGTGAGTTAATAAATAAATTCAGTAGTGATGGGGCGAAGACTATAGGAGCATTAAGAGGGAATTGTAGAATCCGCAGATGCAGAACCGCTGTGGGTCAGTCATGCTTTTCAGTAAAAGGTTCACATCTATGGAATGCCATGCCTGTTCATTTAAAGTTACAATCAGAACTCCCAGTTTTTTCTGTAAAGCTGAAAGAATGGTTAAAATCTTTACAGCAATGTGAGCATTAAGCATTATTCTTTCAGGTTGGTCCCATTTACATTTCTCCTTATCCATATGGACTTGCATCTTATGTTTATGGCTCTGTAAATATTGTACATGTTTGCTGTATTGTGTTTTATTCTTGACTGTTTTTTTTTTTTAATTTTTTAATTTTATGTAAAGCCTAACCAGGGACGAGGGCTGCAAATTAGCTTTATGCTATATGCCCTATGTACACAACATCGGTTATCTTTGTATAACAATGTCAAGTGTATTGTCCCTGTAAAATAAACAAGCAAATAAATAAAAATAAAAATTTGTCATTGACAACATTATTAGACCATTTTTGTCACTGGTTAAATGAGACATTTGTCATTCAAGAGTTCACACTTAGCTAATGAATAATTATAAAGTTTGTTTGGCATGCTGGCCCGGGGGAGAGCCCTGAGCTCATAAGATCCTCGAGCCCAGGGCTCCCTCCCGTTTGCAAGGCGAGAGGGGATATTGATCTCAGGTATATCACGAGAACTCCCCTGCTGTAGTAGCTAATGAACAGGTAGGGATTACTCTTAAAAGATAACTACTTAACAGGAGCATGTCTATGGTGCTGATTTGGATTAGTCAATTAACTTAGGTTGCATGTTTTTGAACGGTTGGAGGAAACCGGGGAACCCAGGGTAAACCCACATACGCACGGGGAGAACATGCAAACTCCGCACAGAAAGACTCCGCACGTTACCAGCTGGCTTGGTAATGACTCGAACCACTGGGCCACCATGCCACCCATATAGGAAAGGAGGAGTAGGGGTGGAAGGGGGGATTCTTCAAAATGAAGTTGGCTGTTATATGGAACTTAGACTGTTTATAGTGACTTAGAAATTGTCTGATTGGTAAATCATAAATTAAATAATGTGGGAACTCTAAAATGCGATATGATAATTTGACTGATGTGCACACTTTCAATTTCATTTTCAGTGCCGAGTGCGCTCATGTCATGGCTGCCGTCACTTTGAGAAAAAAAAACATGCAAATCATACTTCCCGCCCGGCTCTCACGCTGTGCAACAAACTGAACGTTATTTACAGCCTATGCAGGTTCTGTTCACTAAAGTAGACATCATTCGCAAATGCACGCGTCCTCTCAGTAGTAAACAAACAGTGCGTCAGCTCATGTGTGATTTCGTGGCCACGAATATATCATTACATAAAGACAGAAATGACAATTTTAGTGAATAATACCTTATAAATACAGTATGTGACACTTTTAACACTATTTGGAGGTGTCTACTTGGCGGAGCAACGTTTATAAAACGATGTGAAGACTTTTGCGACCGCCTTTATGCTTCTCCCGAACTTGGCTGAATCGTAGAGATGCTGCTTTAAGATCGTGTGAGGGGTCAAATCAAGAGTGTGATCTTTTTTTTTTTTAACCGTGCAGCCCTACTGTATAATACAATTTATTGTTATACAATACTATTTAATTACGTGCATGTTGCTCTTGAAAGTGTGAATATCATGAAAATAAGTAAATAAAATAAAAAGTAAAAAATCTGTATTGAAACATTTGCCGGTATATCGTCATGCATCTATTAAAGAGTCTTTTAATGCTGTTTTACAAGATCTAATAGGATTCTCAGGAGTCATTAGAATGGGCCAATAAATTGTAAAAAATACCTCATGTATAATTTACTATACCATGCTGTAAATGCCCATTTTCGGCTCAAAGCAAAATGCTACTTTTTGTGAGTGTCTCTTTAAATGTAAATGAGCTGCTTTTTAAATGTAAATGAGACCACCCCCCTTTTAAAAGAGGGCGGAGCCTTTAAAGGTTGTGCATAAGTTACTGTTGTTATTGACAATGACAAACAATGCATCTGCATGTATTTTAAAGTCTTGTCCACTTCAACTACTGATACGGATTTCAGAGTACACACACACACATATGAAGGACACACACAAAAAGCACTACAACACACTACTAATTTGACAGAAATAAGCCTTGTTCTCTTTTGGGCAGGACATTTTTAAATTCAGAAAAATTGTAAACCAAGATCAGCAGCATTACTCAATAAATGACCACTTAAAGAACCATGCATATGGCAAAAAACAACAAAATATAAAAACTCCAGGAAACAAGTAAATAAAACAAGACAGCTTTTTAATTTTGCATGTTTTAATAGCAACAACAGTAACACATTCATTGGAATGTACCATTCTAGGACGGGGAGGACAAGTTTTCTGAAATTAACTGAAAGTATAACGTCTGTGCTTCGCAGCCAAATGGAATCAACAATAATAGTTCTAGAATTCGTAGCAGATGGAAAACTATCAGCTCCTTATTCTAGATCTAAACTACATCAACTCAGCATTCTAGAGCTGTTCCAAAACCACGCTGAGCAGATGGAGTTCAGCTCAAGAATGCCTAGTGGATGGAGTTCAGTTCTAAAAAAACGAGCTGATAGAGTTGAGTTCTAGAATGATGAAGTAATGTTCTAAATTCAGTTCTAGAATGCAGAGTTGAGTTCTAGAATGCTGAGCTGGAGGAGTGTTTGTAACTCCATCAGCTTATCATTTTAGAGCTCTTCCTAAAGAAAGATGAGCAGATGGTGTTTAGCTCTAGAATGCACAGTGCATGTTCAGTTCTAAAATAATGAGCTGATGGAGTTCCGTTTTAAAATAATGAAGTTCAGTTCTAAGTTCAGGTTTAGAATACTGAGTTCAGTTGTAGAAACCTGTATGAGAAAAAAGTTACAGAATGCAGAGCCGATGTTCAGTTCCAGAATTTACAGAGAAATAACCTCCTTTAAGCTCCTCATACTAGATTTTGACTACATCAACTCAGCATTCTAGAACTAAACCACGCTGAGCAGATGGAGATCAGCTCTAGAATGTCATGAGGATGGAGTTCAGTTCTAAAATGACGAGCTGATGGAGTTCATTTCTATAAGGATGAGCTGATGGAGTTCAGTTCTAGAATGACAAGCTATTGGAGTTCAGTTCTAGAATGATGAAGGAGAGTTCTCAGTTCCTGGATATTAAGTTGAATTCTAGATGATTAACTAATGGAGTAAAATCAAGGTTCTTAACTTATCAGCTCATAGTTTCAGAACTCTTCCTAAAGAAAGTTGTGCAGATGGTGTTGCAGAGTGGATAGAGTTAAGTTCTAAAATATTAGGGTGATGAAGTTCAGTTCTAGAATAAAGAGCTGCTAGAGTTCAGTTCTAAGTTCAGTTTTAAAAAGCCACTTATGAAACAAGTTCCAGAATGCAGAGCTGAAGGAATTCAGTTCCAGAATGCACAGAAAAATAACCTTTATCCTTATTCTAGATCAGAACTGAATAAATTTGGCATTCTAGAACTGTTCCTAAACCACACTAAGCAGATGAAGATCAGCTCTAGAATGTCATGAGAATGGAGTTCAGTTCTGGAATGATGGGCTAATGGAGTTCAGTTTTAGAATGGTGAAGTACAGTTCCAAGTTCAGTTCTAGAATGTTGAGTTGAGTTCTAGAATGCTGAGTTGATGGAGTTCAGTTCTAAAATAATAAAGGTGATGGAGTTCAGTTCTAGAATGGTGATGTTGAGTTCTGAGTTTAGGTGTAGAATATTGAGTTTTGTTCTAGAATGCTGAGCTGGTAGAGTGAAGTTGAGGTTTTAAACTATCAGCTCATTTTAGAACTGAACTCCAGCTTATTGTGTCAGAACTCTTCCTAAAAGCAAAGCAGATGGTGTTCAGCTCTAGTATACTGAGTGGATGGAGTTCAGTTCTAAAATAACGAGGTGATGGAGTTCAGTTTTAGAATGAAGAGCTGATCGAGATCTATTTTAGAATGAAGAGCTGATGGAGATCAGTTCAGGTCTAGAATACTGAGATCAGTTGTAGAAACCCAGTTGGGTTACAAGTTCCAGAATGCACAGAGAAATAACCTCCTATCAGCTCCTCATTCTAGATGTGAACTACATCAACTCAGCATTCTAGAACTGTTCTTAAACCATGATGAGCTGATGGATTTCAGTTTTGAAACGATGAGCCAATGGAGTTCAGTTCTAAAATGTTGAGTTGAATTCTGAAATGCTGAGCTGGTGGTAATAAAATTGAGGTTTTTAATTCCATCAGCTCATTCTAAAGAAAGTTCAGGTCTATAATGTTGAGTTCAGTTGTAGAGTTGATTAAGTTTGGTACTAAAGTATGCTGAGTTGATTGAGTTTGGTTCTTGAATGCTGAGCTGATGTGGGTTTTACAGCAGGTCTGCACCATTTGGATGAGGAGCACAGTTAGTGTGAATAAATTGTTGGCTTTAGCCTTTAGGAGCAGTGTACTGGCGCAGGAGAGAAGAGATGGCACTAGATTCTGTCACCTCCTCTGGAAGGGAGCCTTCTTGATCTTTGATAGATGGGTCAGCTCCGGCTTTAAGGAGTAACTCGACGATTTCTGCAAACTCACAAGCTGAGGCTATAGAAAGAGAGAAAGAAAGAAAGTTTCATGACAGTTAATCATTGATATGTTATTATTGTTCATAATGTATTTTACAAATATTTAAACAAAGAATTAATACATTATTATTTTTATTATTATTATTATTATATAAAACTTATACTGCTCTTTACAATTATACAATTTTAACTATTTAAATTCACTTGAATAGCAGCTATTACAGTATCTCAAATAATAACCCAATGGCATCATATAAGAAGAGCTTCATCCAGTATAGTTTTGTCAGCAGTACACTTAAAGTAATTGTTAGCGTCCGCATGAAACCTGGATGGAGCTGCATGTAGTTGAGCCGCACTCCTGCATTTGTGCCCCATTGGCAGTTTGTGCCCCATTAGGAGGCAGCAGGGCAGAGACGAGCAGCACTTCTGTAACCCTGTTAGCGATGCAGGACCTTCCTTTAAACGTGAGTGCTTTCTCACGTCTCTGTCAACTACTGCTTTCTTTAAAGAGGGGGGAAAACGCTCTCCTTACTCTCTTTCTCTTGTGTCAGCAGGAAAAATACCCTGAGTGACAAGAGTGGCTTTTAACCTCAGACCCCGAGCTGGAGAAGAAAAGAGAAGGCAAGTGGATCCTTTAAACAAACATGGATGTTTCCCAGTGATGGGTTGCAGTTAGAAGGGCATCCACTATGTAAAACATATGTTGGCGGTTCATTCCTCTGTGGCAACCCTAGATTAATAAAATCTGACTATTTTTAAACGGAATTTTAAATGTTTTATATTTTTATGTATTTAAAAATGGAATTTATTCTTGTGATGGCAAAGCTGAATTTTTAATCAATTATTCCAGTTTTTGGTTTCATGATTTCTCAGAAATCATAATTGATGCTTTATCGCCAATTTTTTTTTTGTCTTAATATTTTTGTATAATACTTGCATCATATTTGTCAGTGACATGGAAAGCTAAAAATAAATAAATAAAAAAAAAAATGTAATAGATGTATGAATAAATATATATATAAAAAAATGTATAAAATAAAATAAACTGCAACTTTTTGGGATTTTGTTGTATTATATAGCAGGAAAACAAATAAAATAAATAATATCAAAACTAATTAATCTAATTAAATGATAAATGTTTGTTAAATTAATCATTAAAAAAGCAAATGGACAGGTAAATGTATTTAATTATATTATTCATTTATAATTAAATAATTAATCCATTTTCTTTTTGGCTTAGTCCCCTTATTAATCAGGGGTTGCCACAGCGGAATAAACCACCAATTTATTTAATTTATTAATAGCATATGTTTTACTCAGTGCATGCCCTTCCAGCTGCAACCCAGCACTGGGTAATACCCTTACACTCTTGCATTCACACACACACACATACACTACGGCCAATTTAGCTTATTCAATTCCCCTATATTGCATGTCTTTGAACTGTAGGGGAAACCGGAGCACCCGAAGGAAAACCCAAGCGAGCACAGGAAGAACATGTAAACTTCACACAGAAATGCCAACTGACGCAGCCGAGGCTCGAACTAGCAACCTTCTTGCTGTAAGGTGATCGTGCTACCCACTGCAACAGTGATGCCTATTTATAATTTGATTACATGACATACATTTTAACTCTTAAAATTCAAGATTGCGGTAGAATAGTGATTATAGTTGATATGAAACACTGCTTGTTGTTTTCCACGTATCGACCCTCTAAACAAAAATGTTTGCTAAATGATAAGATAAATGCAGGATTACCTCATTAACAAACTACATTGTCAGCCCAAGAACAAAATCCACCCAAACCAATAAAATATTCATTTACTCATGACTTAAAGTCATCCTAAGACCAACATGACTTACAGTATATACTGCCCATGATTTACGTTCACTTTATATTAGGGATGTACAGATCCTCCCAATCAGTACTCGAATATATATATATATATATATAGTTGAAGTCAGAATTCTTAGCCCCACTTTGACTTTTTTTTCTTTTTAAAATATTTCCCAAATGATGTTTTTCAGAGCAAGAACTTTCACAGTATGTCTGATAATATTTATATTTATAAAGTCTTATTTGTTTAATTTCAGCTAGAGTAAAAGCAGTTTTTTTTTTTAAACATTTTAAGGTCAGAATTTTTGCCCCTTTATAATGTTTAGAAATGTGTTTTGTTTAAATGTAAAATGTGTTTTATTTTAAGATGAGGTGCTCTTTGTTTTTATATTAGAATTACTGTTACACTAAAGTATAAAAGTGAAGAATTGAAGTCATTTATTACTTGATTGTTGAAGTTACCTCAAAGAAGTGCTTTGTTTGTTAACAGAGTTGTTGAATGTTAAAATAAGATGAGCTAAATAAAAAATTAGGAACATCGATCTTCTTTTTAATGTATTTTAGAAGTATCAGATCGGGTTTCGGGATTGGTAGATACTCGAAATCAAATGACTCGGACTTGACTCGAGGGCAAAAAAACCTGATTGGGACATCCCTACTTTATACTGAATAACTCTTTTTGAGTTCTAAGCAAAGTGATACAAGTCTAAAGACAACTTGTGAGTCAGCAAGTTTTTCTCAAATTTTTTTTTTTGACCGAATGATCACTTTAGTAAGCAGCAACAAATAACGCATTCAGAATTTCCCCTAGTCCATTTTGTGTGTGTGTGTTCCAGTATTTTATTTTCGGCACACGTGTGGGACCTTGGGCCGTAAAGCCCCTTGTGCCTCTGGGGAGCCGTAGAGAAGAAGAACAATTTACAGCGTGCAGTAAACCCCTCAATTAATCATGTGTCAGCCGCGTGGCCCCACACACCGAGAGGTGGAAATGAATTTTCATTCTGTGCTATTCGTCTCCCTGAGTTCATCGCTTATGTTTATTAGTCACTTTTTTATATCCCATCCCCCCTTCATTTTTCTGCTCCGGCTTCCCTGAGGGCTGATCGTCTTCAGACGTCCAGCCACCAACCTGAGGACAGATGGCAAACACACACACACACAAATACACTCAGTTCGCCCAGTGTCACATGACAGAGGAACACTGTTGATTTCCTCGGGGACGACTGGTGATTATTACAGGTCCTGTTTACCACACGTGTGGCTGTGGACAAATGTACTCGCACACAAACATACACACTTGCCTCCTGTGACCTGTGGGGTGGATAAGAACTGGATTCAGAAATCATTTTTAACCAAAGGGAGTAATTTTCAGGGCTGGGATGGTGTGAATCTATACCAGTGTGATTCTTCGATGTGTGTTGTGATTTTTAAGAACTGAATTTTCACATGTGATTTTTTTTGTAAACACTAGATCATGAGGAAAAGCTGAATGCAGACTGTACATGAGTTATAAGATTTCATAAAGAATGAAATTAAGCAAACCATATTACTCCATCTTATTGCTCTGCGTTGCATTTCCTCATAGTGGTGCTTCAAAATATTTTTACCAATTCCATTTTAAATCTTTTTTTTAACCGGTTTTAAGTTTATTTGTTAATCAATTAATTAAAAAAAATAAATGTAATATTAAAAATTAGAATGAATAGCGAAGTGATGGTAAACATCTGTTACAAAACATTGAGAAAGATTTCTATTTCAAGTAAATCGATTTTTAAGCTTTCCATTCATCGGATATATATAAAAATGATCATGGTTTACAATAAGCAGCACAACTGTTGATGCATTGACCTTGAACAGTTTGCTAAATGTTCCTTGAACACTAACATCTGAAATTCTGCTTTGCCAGCACAGGAATATAATGCTGTCAAAATTTTAATAATATTATCAATTTGACTTAATTGTTTTACTGCAATTCATTCACTGTGTTCAGCATATATGAGTACACCCACACATCTCTCATTTAAATTTATATTTTCTATAGTAAGCTTTACAATTTTATATTTGTGCTTATGCATTTAGTAAGTACTGAAGCCAAACCTGGAGATTATCTAACAAAATAACTTGCGATAATGGTTAAAAAATTAGTCAAATGAATATGTTAGGGAAAAATATTAAATAAACTTTTCAAAAATAGCAAAAATCAAAAGAAACTTAAAATATATACAGTTTTGGTAAATTTTGTAGTTTTGATTTTTGTTTTTGTTTTTGCAATTTCTTGCATGAATTTAAATGTATTATCTTTCCATTTCTAAACATGTTCTGTGATTAAAACATTATTTTAATAAATATATCTGTTTAATAAATCTGTTTTGTTCAATATATTACCCATATTCACTGAAAAATGGATGCAATAATAATTTTCAAAGTGGGGTGTACTCATATGCTGAGCAATATTTACCATGATTTTCTTTGGGGCAAGGCATTATAGATGTTAAAATATAAGCAGATATAAATATAAACTGAAGATATATATTTTGTTGTTCTAATTATTTGCATTATTTGTCACTTTAGCATTTCTTGCCTTGTTTAATATCTTTGCATGGTCATTGCATAACAATAACCTAATCTAATATGTACAAGATATGCAAGCAGGTTTATCACAATAACATAATTAACACATACTGTAGTCTATAATTATTAAACCATGCATTTTAATCATAATTGGCCATAGTGTACGAGTGTGTGTGTGAGTGTGAGAGTGTATGGATGTTTCCCAGTAATAGGTTGCCGCTGGAAAGGCATCCGCTCTATAAAACATATGCTGAAATAGTAGGCGGTTTATTCCAGTGTGGCGACCCCAGATAAATAAGGAACTAAGCTAAAGGAAAATGAATGAATGAAAGTATTTTGTTTATTTACGTATTTTCCTTTACATGATTTTCATTACTAGATTTTCTTTAGGGCAAGGCATTATAGATGTTAAAATATAAACTGATTTAAATATAAAGTAAAGATTAGATTTTTTGGGGTCAAAGAATTTGTGCTAATTATTTGCTTATTTTAGATGTGAACGATTTTTATGTATAACCAAATCTATTATGTACAAGATATACAAGCAGTTTTACCTGAAGAATGTAATTAACACTTACTGTAGTCTATAATTATTAAACCATGCATTAGAACACATACGCAGATTAAGATAAAATTATTAGCCCTTATGTAAAATATTTTTCCAATGTTTCCAATATTTAATATGTATGTATGTATGTATGTATGTATGTATGTATGTATGTATGTATGTATATGTATATATAATATGACATTTGCAGTGAAATCTCAAAACATAAATTTACATAGTATATGTTAACATTATATTGAACCATCATTTATATTTGGTTTATAGTTGCTCTCTTTATAACAAAAAAGATTGATTTGATTTTACATTTTTGCATTTACGAGGAAAAAACTTTGTTATGAATGTGACACCTCTTTGTTATGAATGTGACAGATGTGAAATTCCCACTTCTGTGACTTTAGTGAATCAAATATAATTGTTTAAAAACATTGACAAAAACTTTTAAAACTGTTGACATCATTTTTGTCATGGCAAGGTTGACATTTGCATGGAATTGCACATATAATAGCTAATTTCTTTCTAAAATTTTGTGTTTGCCATGATGGCAGTACATTATATTCATTCATTCATTTTCTTGTTGACTTAGTCCCTTTATTAATCCGGGGTCGCCACAGCGGAATGAACCGTCAACTTATCCAGCAAGTTTTTACGCAGCGGATGCCCTTCCAGCCTCAACCTATCTCTGGGAAACATCCACACACACATTCACACACACACTCATACACTACAGACAATTTAGCCTACCCAATTCACCTGTACCACATGTCTTTGGACTGTGGGGGAAACCGGAGGACCCGGAGGAAACCCACTTGAAGGCAGGGAGAACATGCAAACTCCACACAGAAACGCCAACTGAGCCGAGGTTCGAACCAGCGACTCAGCGACTTTCTTGCTGTGAGGCGACAGCACTACCTACTGCGCCACTGCCTTGCCCGTACATTTTATTTTTCTACTTATCTTGCAAGATACTAGTATTCAGCTCAAAGTGCCATCAAAAGGCTTAACTTTTATTTAGGTTTATTTAGGTTAACTGGGACTGTTAGGTAAACTAAGCACGTCATTGAACAACAGTGGTTTGTGGCTGAAAAAAATCTCTTAAGGGGGCTACTATGCAGTAGGTGATCTGCCAAAATGCTAACCGGTTAGCATAATATCTTTGAAGCACATTCCCACCCCTGCATCTAAAGCCATGCCTCCTGAAACACGAATGCACAAACAACAGCAGACAACCCACTAATTCATGTCATTCGTCAGTTAGAAATGTAGTTGGTGGTTGGCCGGCTGTGTGCTAATGGTGAATGTGTGAACAGAGATGCGCATCTACATCTAAATCTACATTTGTTGACAGACAGTTACTTATTGGAATTATGGGAGATGTCGGCCCTACAATATTTATTTAGAGGAATTTTTTTTGTGTTATGCCTTATCTAGATTATAAAATACATATAAATACATTTACTTTAATCATTACTATTGTGAAGAGACTTTCAACCAGCACAACAAAAAATGTTTCTGATAACAATCACATACTGCACCTTTAATTTTGCCCATAGCAGTTTTTACTATTCCCACTAAGCTAAGCTAAAAAGAAAATAAAAAAATTCTTTAGAAGAAAAATATAATAGGTAATGCTGTGAAAAAAATCACTTTGGAAATGTTTAAAATAAAATTACAATGGCTGTATAATACAAAAAGCTGTAGGTCAGTCTATTTAAAGTAAATTTTTGCAGATGAAGGAATTAATTGAACATTTGAGTTGGAGGTATTCTTACCATAGTGCAGAGCAGTTTGTCCTTCATCATCCTGTGACAGAAATAGATAAAAAGTTTTGTGTCAGACATGTCAAATATATCGACCATTACAACTAATCAAACTCTTTAGACACTTTCTAATCATCATCAATACTGACTCTGCCTCCAAAATCAAGCGAACATGTTCAAGTGTGAGCCCTGCCTGTTGACTTCACCTACACAAACAGGTGCTTTCCACTTTAAAGGGATTAAGAGAACAGATTAAACATTGATTTCCTGTCAGATAAACAATCAGACCCTTTAACCTCCAAAACAGACTTTTGAACAAGTAACCAGGATCAGAGGAGCTTCCACTCTCTGTTTGGCTGGATATATAAACCGGTTTAATATGAACAAACCCTTGACCTGCGTGCTCAACGAGGCCATCAGGCGGTCCAGGATGATCTATTCATTGTCCCCTGCTGGGACCGTGTCCGATGCATTAGCCACAGGGGCCGAGGGCATACCACAACAATAGATGCGTATACAATAGGCCCAATCTGCCGGCTGTGCTGCTGACAAATTACCACACGGCTGGTGGTATCAGAGAGCAGGGCAGAGAAAGCCATATTTAGGCCAAGGATTAAGGATCCAGTGTGTGTGTGTGGATATAAATCCAGTGGAATGCAACACTCGAGGGGTCTGGAAGTTCTGCAGATGACACGCGTCTTCTGGTTAAATGATATTTTAATTGCCACTTCAATGTGTCTCCTCACCCTAATAATGATGACAAACGGCATTATTGTTTCGGCTGGGTGCTTGTTGGAGATCATCACAGCCCAATGAAAACTAGAAACAGTTTTGTTGCTCACTTGCTTCTGGTAAAACATCAGCTCACAGTTCACATAGACAATATCAATGGGCTTTACTATAATAGGCATCTGACAATGGATTGAGATAATGCTGAAAGCTGACAATGCAACACGTCTTTTACGGCCATATACAAACTGCAGGTAAATTAAGTTTTCATTTGACCTTTTAGCACACGGGTGCCCAAACTTTTTCACATAAAAGGCCAAAAACATAATCATTAAAGGCACCTATTTGATAATCAATTTATAATTATTTTTATAGGGGTTTTCCCCTTTATTGATAGGACAGTGGAGATGTACAGAGAGGAAAGCATGGGGAGCAGAGAGAGGGGAAGGATCGGCAAAGGACCTCGAGCTGGGAATCAAACTCAGGTCGCCGCGAGCACCTGGGTGCTATATGTCAACGCATTAACCACTAGTTAGCCAACAAAGGCACATATTTAACCCCTTTTTCAAGATTTAAGATAAGTCTTTTCTGTCTCCAGAATGTGTCTGTAAAGTTTCAGCTCAAAACACCCATCAGATTATTTATTAGAGCTTTTCTGCTCTAAACATAAATGTAGCTGTTTTATTTTTGCCTGAGCCTTTAATGCTAGTTCTCCCCACCCACCGTTCCCAAGTGCCAGTCAAAATGTGCCTCAATCTCCACCTCGGCTGCGTCAGATAAACAACACAGTAACAGACATGAAGGAAGCAGATCTCACATAACGATTGTGAGAAACACTATAGTAAGACCTTTACCAATGATTATTGATTTGGCAAATGTGACTGGATACACAATAATATCCAAATGCTATATGGTTATTTTATGTTAATGTAGAAAATAAACCTCATTTAACGTCTTCAAACCGGAATTGAAGCATCTTTTGTAATTGTACTGACATGTTTTAAAAACGATTTAAACTTGTAAAACTCAATCTTGATCACATTTGATGATGATTGATGATCACAGAGAGCTGAACAGATCTTTTAATTCCAGTTGCTTTGTGCACGTCCTGTCTTGTTGATATGATTATATGCATTACTATGGAGACGTTACCACGCAGCTGTCAATTCGGTGGGCAGGGAAATCGGGGGCGGGATTTGGATCATATTTTAACATCAAGAAATAAAAAAAAAGAGACTTATTGTGTTTATATCAGCCCAATATGACTGTGTCCAAACAGCTTACAAAAGATGACTTTATTATAGGTGCCCTTTAAGAGCCATGGGCCAAAGATAAATATATCAAACTATTTTACATTAAGGTTGCCATGGGTAACTTCCTAATTTATTTTAATTGTATTTAAAAATAAACATTACTTTGAATAGTATTAACAGTATAACTTTTTTAAATCATAACTTATTGCAATAAATAACATAATCACATTTATAATACAGTTGAGTTCAATGCTGAATACAATTGTCAATCAGAATCTGCCTTTGCACCAAAGTCTCTGCATTGTCCTCTATCCGTCAGGTGACAGTTTGTACATTTTAAACTAAGTTATGGCATTTAAAGGGAAACATTTATTTTCAGTTAGCTTTTTTGTAGCTTTTATTTTTTAATTAAATAAAAGTTTACATTAAATTTGAAACGACAATCTATAAACCAGGTCTGCTCAACCCTGTTCCTGGAGATCTACCTACCTGCAGAGTTCAGCTGAAAGCTTGATCAAACACACTTGTTTTTAATTATCAAGTGCTCCTTTAGATCCTGTTTAGTTGGTGTTTAATCAGGGTTAGAGCTGAACTGAACTGAAGAAATGTTGTCAGATCTTGCAAAAAAATAAAATAAATAAATAAATTTGATCTAAAAAGGCTTTTCTTAGACATGAATTAGCCAAGTTGCAAAATATTGCAATCTGCACCTGCCTACTTTATTAACTACATAAATTGTTTGGCTAAAGCCCAAAGACAGTTAATAAGTGTAGCTTATATTAGGTGGACATAGCAACCCTTCAAAAGCTCACTTTGCAAAGCAGTCTTCTCAATATAAGTCACAACTTACTATATATTACATTCAAATTCAAAATTGTATTATTGAAAGGGGGAAAATGGTGATTTTATTATTTTTATCTAGTTTATCTCACTCAAAAAATAATTCTATAGATTCAATTTGAATGAATATGGTTTATAAATGGAAGTATGAATTAAATAAATTATAGCGCCATTCATTTATTATAAACATCAAAGCCTAAAGTAAGATCCACAGCTGTCAAAAATCCAAATGTGTGCAATTTTGTCATGTTTTGTGTACTTGACACAAACTTTATTCTTTATTTCTTCTTATTATTTAAGCAACATTTCTTTGTCAGAATTTTTAGATGGAGTTTTATTAAAAAATTTTTCCCAGTGAACTTGTGGTAATGCACAGGTGTCAAAACCAGTTCCTGGAGGGACGCAGCTCTGCACAGTTTAGTTTCAACCCTAAGTAAACACACCTGATCAAACTAATTGAGTACTTTAGGCTTGTTTGATACCTACAGATAGGGATGTTAAAGCAGGCCTGGAACTAAACTCTACAGGGCTCCGGCCCTCCAGGAATTGACTTTGATACCCCTGTCGTAATTGATTTGGAAATGTGAAACTGCAAAACAAGGTATTTTACCATTACCATCGCTTTGGATGCCTGAATATGGGTATCAAAGTGTACATTTTGAAAATGATACCATTGTCTTGTGCACATGTTTTCTTCAGTCTGTAACTCTGGGAAAAATTGAGTATTGCATTAACATTAATTAGTCATTCATTTCTACAATATATACATATTTTACATAGCCGTGAAGTGCCTGTCAGCTATAATTTTATAAAAAGTCCTGGCCGCAACCCAAATCTTTTAATGATAGAAGTTTACAGACCACCTTATGATAAAATTGTGTAGATACATTGGTAGTTCTTTTGTCTGTCGTAACTTTAGTTTTAGTTAAACCGTATTTTGGCATATTTCCGTCTTTGAGAATACATGTGTTCAAATGCGCATGAGAGGCCTAGATTGCATCGGTATACATGCGCAGCCGAGATTGCACCGGTCTGAGATTGTATGACATCTGCACCCAGACTTGAAATATTGAGCCAAGGTGGTTGGCTCTTTCGATCAGATCCTTCCAAAGTCTGATCCCATTGTTTAATAAATACGAAAAATCCTCATGGCACCAGGGCCGAAGCTCTGAAACCATCCTACAGTCAGATGCTATTGTTTACGGAGAGGCGGGAGAGGGACTCCAGGGTCTCTCTGATTGGATTAGCTGGTTAAAATCCCACTAGACGAACAGAATACTGATGCAGAATCTCCACTCACCTTCTTTGACACAGTTACAGCTCTACTATCAGAGACTTGCATAATAAAATGCAACAACACAAACAAAACCAGCTTCCTTTTCAGTTTTTGATTGCTACTGTAAGATCAGGTTTATAAAAGAGAGATACTCAATTAAAATAAATGAACTATAAAAATTATTTTGATGTTTGTTAGAAACTCATCCCAACATTTGTCATTGTAGCAATAGTTTCCCTAAAATAGCGTTATGAAAGTCATTGTGCAATTGCACAGCGGTAACAGCCGTGGTTTAATTTTACAGCTGCAACAATAACTAGTAGCCTAACTATACAGTTTTCTACCTGAACTCCTGTTTACTTGTGGTGATACATTGTAATATACATTCATATTTGACATTTATAGAAATAATTAAATTAATGCCAATATGTTTTGTATAACAATTGTTAAGAGCTCAGAAGTAAAAAATGAGCAGATTTCTCTCTCTTTCGTTCTCAGCAGAATAATAGAGTGGCAGATGTTTATGAGAATAGATATGGAGAGGCACATAAATACATATAGCCATAATTAAACAGTGAGGGCTTTACGAAATGTAATCTTCTTTCACTAATCTTGTGTGCAGGCAACATCCACATCAGCCCAGAGCCCTGGTGCAGCTAGAACATGGACACAAGAGGCAGTGTGTGGATGGAGACAGCAGACAGACAGGTTGGCTATCATGGAAAATGCATTGAGACACCTGTTTAGGTTGGTCAGCTCACATCGGCTGTCTTAAAATTGGATATAGTAGTTGTGTACTTCTTTATGATTTCATTCAACTTGCCCATTTAAAATAAAATAAAATAGAATTTAACTAAATTAAATAAAATACAATTAACAGGTTGGCTATCGTGTAAAACGCATAGAGACACCTGTTTATATCAGTCAGCTCACATCTACTTTCTT